CACCGGCTGAGGGGCGAGGGGTTCGCCCCGGGCTCCCCCGAGGTGCCTTCTCCCGGCACATGGCGGCATTTTCCTCTTCCTTCCCGCCGGACCCGGGGCGTCCCGAGCCGGGGAACGGCAGAGAAATCTTTTAAAATCCTGCACGGGAGAGACAAACCTATTTCGGGATTTTCTTCAATAAAAAAGCAGCAGGAGGAGAAATTAATTTCTAAAGGTTGGTTTGAAAGTGCTACGTGTTCCTTCCAGGTCTGCAGCTACTAGGGGTGTTTACTGCGCATCTCCGCGGCCACCTTCCAGTACCTCCACAATCATTAGTGGGTATTATTCTCATTCCCTCTTAGGAAGCAGGGGGATAATCATTCCCCATTTAACGGATGGGAAACTTGGCACAGCACAGATTAAGTGATTTGCTGACAGGCCCATAAGAAAATTGCGCTAGTCAAGCATTCTCTCAATTACGCCATCCTTGTAACTGCATAATTTCCGTGTCTGATTCCAAACACGGCGCATACTCCCTGTACAGAGCTTCATCTCTGCAAAGCGCGCGGCTAGCATCAACCGGCACCCACGCATTGACGGCAGGACGGGTTACACCGGTCTGTGTCCTCGGCATGGGGGTCTGCAGGGCACAGGACAGCCGCTCGGGTCCCACAGACATGTACCAGCCGGGGGGGGGAGCCAAAGGCTGCCAGATCCAGGCGGGCAGGAGCCCAGGACGTGCGGGTATGAACTGGGGGGACACAAGAGGTCTCGGGAGCCTGAGGGATGCTCAGGCTGCTGCACGGGGGTGCTTCACAGACACCCACTCCAGCATGCACTGCTGCAGCCAAATGCTGCTTTGCCTTTGCGACCCGCGCAGAGGCCAGCAGCTCCTTCCACAGCCCAGTGGAAATTCCCCAAGCGGTGCCAGCACCGGGGCCTCCAGCGACCAGCAAACCTCCCTAGACCCAGCGAGGGGTTGGGGTGCTGCCATCTCGGTGCAGCGAGCCTCCCCGGGGCTCCTGGGAAGGATAATCTGGAGCAGAGATGCTGGCGGGGAGCTGAGCTGGGGCTGCCCCTGCCCCCTCGCCGCTCCCTGCCCTCGCCTCGCTGGCTGCGTCATCCCCTGCGTGTTCTTTCAGGCTCCCCTGCCCTCATTTGAATGGGCCCTGCCTGCCCAGCCTCGTAATCTGCCACTAAGTGGGACTGCCGATGAGCGCTGTGATAAATTTAGAAAGAAATCTTTGTGTGGGTCAGAGGAAAAACACGGCAGCCTGGGGAATCCGAGCTGCAGCGAAGTGGTTTGATTTCCCTCCGCCAGCTCTGCTCGCTGCCTGCGAAGCAGGATTTGACGCGGAGTTTCTTACTGGTAAAAGCAAGAGGGATCCACAGGGTTTATAGGTGGTCCTTACTCTGCTGAGGTTTATAAGCCAAGGATGCCTTCGTATAAAAATAATACCAGTTTTAACAAATATTAGTGGAAAAGGAGCGGGGAGGATCGTAGCCTGCGAGCGGCTGAGCTGCCCCAGCTCGGAGCACGACCTGACATTTCAGCCGGAGCCTCTTAAAGAGCAAGTTTACCTTCCCCCAGGATTTGTTTATACGCAGAAGAAGGGAAGGCAGTTTTACTTAATTCCGCTTTCAGGCTTGTCAGGCTCCTGCCTGCCACACCACAGCGACATTGTTCCTTCGCAGTTGCTTTTGTTAATCTGTTAAACTGTTTTTAAACAACAACAAAAAAATAATAGTATTAGTGGTGCAAAATCCCCCCATGAAATCAAGAATCCAGCGCCACTTCCCTTACTAGAAGTCTGAACGCCGTTCAAAACTGTTTTATCATTTGCTGGTAAATTATATTGTACCAACGCAAGAAAAGGAGAAGAATTTTCTGAATGTATTTCCTTTAATAAGCTATTAAGACCTTGTACTGCTAATTATACTATTAATTAGACGTCTTATCATTCCTAAGCACGTTAGCATGTTGCCAAAGCAGCAATAAGCCTCCGGGGCAGGCAGAAGATAAGAAGGAAGATGCAGACACAAAGATTAAAAAAATGAAGAAAAAAAAAATCACAAGGAAAAGTACCGGAAACAGCAAATAAATAACCAAAGGTTGGTAGCGTGATGTATTTTTTAATTTACAGGAATAAAAAAAATATGTACCCTGAAAATGAACTCTCTAGGTAGAGGCCCTTGGGACATCTTCTATGTCTTATGTGAGACAAAAAGAAACATAACTGGTTTCCAGACCTTTTTTTTCTACAGTTGGAGTGGGAACCTGGAACTAGTCTCCTTTCCCCCCGACAAAATAACTTTCCATTAGAAAACTAACAGAAAAACTGTTCCAATTTTTTTTTTTTTTTTCTGCAGAAGAAAAACGTGGACAATTTTCAATAGGAAAACCTGAACCCGATGCAATTCCACAGCCGTCCCCCCCAAACCAACCCTCTTCCCCAGAAACAGCATCCCAGGCTTACCCATTCTTGTCTCGCCTGGTTTTTTAAGGTTAAAAAAGAAAAACTTGAAGCCTCACAGCACTTAGCACACTCCTTTGCACGCTGTGAAGGTGTTTCCTCCCACCCTCGTGGGTCCTTAGGAAATGGAAAGAGGAGGTGAGCCTGTGAACAGGGGAACAGCTCTGTGCATCAGCCCAAAGGTCCTTCTCCCACGGCGTGTTGTGCTTGAGACCGGAGTCCTGGCTCACACTAATCTACGTTCATCTCTGTCTCCATCTCAGGCTTTGCAACATATTAAAATGATTTTAGAGCCAAATTCTTCTGCGTTTGCCTTTGACAGTTTATCTCAGGGGACAGATAATCTCATTTACGTCTGTTACTACAAATCAAAACACCAGCAAATTAAATGGATCTGAAGGCTAAGATTAAAGACTTAGAATTAACACACCTGTGAAGTGCCTGTAATGCAAATAGTTGTAAATATCATTTTTTCTGGGGGATGGAAAAGCCCTACACAGATGCTGTTGCCTTTACCGTGAAAGCAAAGGCAGAAATAGCACATCGGTGCAGACGGATTATATACACGGGCATTACGTGATGCCGGTTTCTTTTCTATGGTTAGAAAAGGAGAGAAAAGGGAATGAGCCTGAACATCACCCTTTACCAACGCTGGGAGACGTCTTCACGGCCATCTGATGATGACTGAGCTTTTGGCTGACTCAAAACTGGTACAACACACGAACTGGAGGAAGCCGAGGGCGCTGCCGGTTGCCAGGCTCCGGTCGCGGGGATGTGCCCCGGCTCCACCGACGCTGCTTCGCCAGCTTCTTCTTCTGAAGTGTAACGCGGGACGTTATCAAAGCCTGCCTGTGTTTCTGTGTTCCCTGTGCTTGGATCGAAAAGCCTGCGTGGCCTTGCAGCAGATGGTGCAGCAAATATTGTAGAACTCCCACATGAGTTTTGCAGGATCAGGCATCGAACAAGCAGATGGGAAGTGGATTGATGGGAAATTCATTTTAGAAATTTCATTTTAGATGTTCCCTGTTCCTAGAATATGACTTTCCAAGCCCACTGTATGCAGTACTTCTTTCATAATTTCCTAATGTTAATGTGGTAGCCTCTTGGCTGTATTGCCAGCACCCCAGGGTGCAGCAGGACTCTTCTTCAGGTGCTGCTTCTGCCTGGGCACCGTTACCCGAGTACCAGCTTCCCTCTGGAGCAAAGTATTAAATGTTTTAGCAAAGCACAGCCAGCAGATAGCAGCATTGTTATATGTAATATACCCTAGACTATTTCTGCTGTGGTTTCAAAGTCATGCAGAAACCTTGGTGCGTTTAAGTCTGAGGCCATGACCCCCCTCCGTTTCTGTGCAGCCGGGCGGTGGGTACGCGGGGCACCGAACACCCACTCAGCTGGGCTGCAGCCTGTGCAGCAGGAGTAAACACTTAGGCTTAAAGAGAAGTAGTACTTCTGTAGCCTCTAAGCTAAATTGCATTGAACAAAATTTTACAGGAGGTAGGTGAAAACTTCACAGCGTGACAAGGCACGCGAGGCATCTACCCTTAAACTGAAATTTTAGCACAATGCTCAAGTAAATCTGCCCCGGCAGATCTGGAGCATGGAGAGCACCAGGAGAGCGCATCTTTTTCTGGGGGCCTCCAAGGCACAGCACAAGGCAAAACGCTGGTATCTTCGAAGGGCCACGAGTAGGAATCGGGCGTCTTGCTGCTTGCGCGAGACTGATCCTGCTGCTGAGGGATCCCAGGCATCGGGGCAGCTCTTCCCAGCGCTAAATCAACGAAAAAGAAATTAACAACCAGCAAACGGAGAAAGGAGCTACTTTTCTCTGACCTGGGACGTGCTGTTTTGCTGTGAAGGGCCTGTGATGCTGAAGGGCAGGAGTTTTCTCGGGTGGGAGGGTTGTGCTGTTTTTATTATGAAAGGGATGGAAGATCCACTGAGGGACACAGTTAATAAGACTTAATTAAAACTTGTTTGCTCTGATAAATTTGATTGGTTTCAGCAATACACAGAGCAAGCCACTTTAAACTCACAGTAGCATTTTATGGCAGTTCAGATAGGAAGGTATTTCTTCATTTCTGAAAAAGTCTTTGATTTCAACCTGCAGAAGGATTCAGGGGCTGCCTGGATGGGTGTCAGAGCTCCTGCTTCTGTCTCAGGCTGGGACATGGACGTGTCGTTTAACGGCTGTGTCACATTTATATTTATATTTAACACTTTGTATTTGTATTTGCCACCATTCTTCCCCAGAGGATGCTTTCGTGCTGGTTATTTTCATCAGGGCATTTCACGCCAATATAAGGATCCCCATCAGCTAAACAGACTATATATGCCCTGTATACGAGCATAAGATCATGAACCAGGCAAGAGCCCTTGCATCAACCTTGAACCATGTTTATGGGAAGCCGAGATGGATTTAGCCCCCCAAAAGTGGCCCAAAAGCAGCTGCGAGTCTGCAGGCAGTGCGGGATGGTGAGAGGAGGAGGTTGCCCGGCAGGCGGTGGGACCGGCAAGGAAGGAATGCAAGGGGTTTGATAAGGAAGGAATGATAATAATAACCTTTTCGGCAGGGCCAGAGCTGAGCCTGCCTGTGTTTACACACAGGCAAAAAGCTTCCCGAGCTGGAAGCGCAGCCTTTTCCGCTGGCTCGGCACCGTCCCCGCTCAGCCACCGCCGCTCTCGGCATTTCCCTCAATCTGGATGTTTTAGAGAAAGCTTTTGTTTTGCCAAAGCAATTGACTGTAACTTTATTGTCTCTGCTTGGCTGTAGGACATACCCTGAGCTGTGAAAAATGCACCTGACGTTTGATTAGATCTCCTACTTTCTATACAGTAGTGCTGATTAGATAAACAATTGCCAAAAAAAAAAAAGCCAACCTCAGCTCCCTGTCCTGCCCGCAGTGCAAATCAAGCCTCCGGGAGAGCTTCCCCTGCGCTCTGCAGCAGCTGGGGCTCTCGGGAGAGAAAGTAAATTTGTTTTCCTGCATCTGTTCCCCTTGCAGCCAGGCTGTGGAGGTCAGAGCACCCCAAACTACAACAAAACTGGCAGGAGTGGCTTCTAGCCGTATTCAGTACCCCCCAAGAGGTACCCGGTGTGCCTCTGTCCGTGAGCCCATGCCTAGGAAACAAGCACTAGGGAGGGTGGGTCGGACCAGCGAGGGGGGAGGGGGCCGGGCCAGTAAAGATGGCCCCAAACCTCCTGCTTGCAGTGGAGCTCGAGCATCTCCGCAAGAACAGGCGCTAAAGGACTGCCGTGCATCGCCCTGCAAATTCTTTGAGGCAGGAACCGTTGCTGGTTATTGCACAGTGCAGAGTGAGGCAGCCTTCATGTTCATCTTCATACACACACACACACACACACCCCCACTCCCCTAATGTCAGGTCAGACCCCAGCCCTGCAGATCACTCCATGAGACTGGAGTCTCTTTTATTTATCCAGGAATTAGCTGGGCATCTTAAACATCAGAAAATCAAACAAACGAGGCTTAATAAAGTGATGTACGTCACTTGTCCTGCAAACGTGTTTGTTGAAAGACAGGGAATGTGCACAGAACAAGCCACAGGCTTTAGTCATAGTATTTCTGCTGGGAAACAACCTCTCCGCGAGGCGTTGTCTTCTCGTTGCGCTGGCACACGGCACAGCCAGAGCCACGCATCCCGGTGGGATAAACACGCTGTTGTTCCAAGGACACAATGGAGAAGCTGATTTTTAATACTCGATTTTTTTTCAACTGGGATTATTTGCAATGAGATTTGGGAGAAGCAGTTCACACCAAAACAAACAAAACCTGAAACATTTTAAACCATGTTTAAATGACTCTTGCACCCATGCAAACAGCCCCAGATAATGACAGACATCGCTGTCATTCCTTTAAGCACTGTACCAAAAATAACCCCGCCTTCTCAGGTGTTCAGCACTGAGAAGAGGTTGCAATAAATTCACTGTCGAGAGGGTAGATCAGCTTCAAGGGCCATTTTTGTCCTTACTTTGGACGTGGCAGTTGCTGCTGGTGCCAGCAGAGATCCTGGTCTGAACTGCAGCCTCTCGTGGTCTTGCACCATCAACCCTGGGCTTGCACGACAACACCTTTGGCTCCCTACAGACGAGCTGCGCTTGCTCGGGACTGAGCTCAGACCTGCCCCTGGTCCCTGGCTCTCACCGAGCTGCACGTAGCTCAACCTCGGTGATGCGGCTTGCAGCACCGCTCGCCTCGGGGGCGGGATCAGTGCAGAGCTAGGTAGGACCTGCTCCTGTTGTTGGGATTTTGGTGTTGGCCTTCACTTACCAAAGCGAAAATACTTCTTTTTGCTCGTGTACCCACTGCTGATGCAGAGGGAGGAACACCTGTCACGGAGCCGGGTTTCTGTCTAGCACTTGTCCCAGTGGGAGCCCTTCGGCATCTTTCATTCCCGAAGTCCTGCCCTAGGCGCTACCCCCCGTGTGTCGGGAGGGAGGGTGATGGGACTGCCGGCCCCAGGCATGCGCAGAGCCATCCACGGCCCTGTCAGATGTTCTCCATCTCACTCGAGTGATTGATTGCTGGCTCTGCCTTGTCAAACGTCATCTCCAGTCCCTGACATGAAGGGACCAGGGAAGATTTTACTTTAAAACAACAACCTGCGTACTGGTAGGATTAAAAAAGAAACAAGTTTGAGGTCTATTCACATTTAAACCTTCAATTCCACATGGAAAGTTTTACACAGAGCTTCAGCAAATTCTGCTGGAGTAGGAAATACTAAAGAAGACATAAAGCACAAGAAGGGGGATTAAATGCCTGATGTTCTTAAAAGAGGAAGAAATCCTGCACTTAAACATAAAGATGAGATAAAAAAAACAACTCTGTTAACCAAAATTATCTGAAACCTGAGAGGTTTTTGTCACTGAAGTTCCAATGTAACTCTTTTAATCAGCCTAACACACGGCCACCAAAAATTTTGGCTGTTTGGAGTCTGGCTCAAGGCTTCTGTAGCTTCAGTCTGCCTCTGCTTAAAAGCTGTTCAGGGCTAAGGGCACTTGCATTTCTCATTATGTTCTTCTAACAACAAAAGCAGAGAACAGCTGCGAAAAAGTGTCTTGTGTGGTCAACAGGAGAAGTAGGAGGAGGCAGCGAAGCAGGTCTTTGGCAGCTCTGGCGCTTAATGTGCTTTAGGCTGATTTTGAAGTTCTTCACAGAAATAATAATAAAAAAAAGGTCTGCAATTCCCCAACTGTCCATAGAAAACTCTTGCCCTCCCTTCTCTCTCCGCTCCCCTGTTAGTTCGCTTTACAGATGCACTTCTCTGCCCGGTTCACATTTCGGTGTCAGCGGGACTGTGCTGCCTGGCTGAGTGGCCGTTTTTGGAGGACGCTTGGCCAGTCCCGTTCTCCTGAGTCCCACCGTTGAGGTTTGGCTTCTCCTGCAGCTCAGGTTGCTCTTGGGAGGGCATCATCAACATCGTGTTTCCCTGGCTACCGTTTTCCGTGTAATATGGGTCTTCAGCCTAAACAGGTACATAAATAACAAAGGCAGAGTTAGGAAAGGGAAAGGGCTGACAGCAACTGGCTTTGATTGCAGGCAGCGGCTTGGCTGCCTGCCTGCGCTTCCTGGACAAGAGGTACAAACAACTGCAGGCATGGGAACCTGCTCTCGCTGACGAGAAGGGGAACAGGGGGCCTGAACCATGCCGTGGCAAGACGAAGCAAGAAAACCAGCCAGGAACTGCAATTTTTTTCTCCTGGACCTGAAAAGAGAAGCCGTCAGGTTTTCTTGTTTTCTCATAACCAGGTTTTGGAGCTGACCCTGCCTTGGGTTTGCAAAGCTACCCCGTGGCAGACCACCTCTGCTTTCCACTTTGGCCAGGTAAGAAACACCATCGAATGAAAGCTATGGAAATTGCCTCTTTTTCTTTCCCCCGCCCTTCTTTCTTTCAGCTTCTAAATAGATATACAGCTTGCAGCAAGGTGCTAGCAGAAGCGCAGGACTGCACTCCAGCAAATGCAAAGACAAGCTATTGCTACAAGGAGCAGATGCCTCTGGAGGATCCAGAGCAATAGCAGAGCTGCCTCCGTCCCCCACCACGATAACTCCCCATTGTGTCAGACCGTGGCAGGTCTGACAGCAGTGCAACGGGCGCTGGTGGTCCTGGGCTGCGGGTGGCGATTGCCAGCTGGTGGCAGACAGCCCCGCTCCTTGTTTGCTCAGCAGCATCCAGCACGCACGGCAGGCTGCCGAGCTTCCCGCCCGCCCCGTCGTTTTGCTCGGCCCCTTTGCTGACACCCTTGTCCGTGGCAGTGAGATGGGTGTGCTGGAGACATCTCACCCAGACACTGCCACACATTTACAGTGCCTTTCACTTGCTGCCAGCATCCAGGAGACGGTACCCGGAGGCAGCGGGCTCGAGAGCCCAAGCTGCCATGTCCCTGCCTCTGACACATGCACTTGACTTCCCATGTGCATGTTTTGAGAGCATCCTTTCTGGCAGTGAAATAACCTAAAGGCTTCCCAGGACACAACTGTTCACGTGCCCACGAGCAGCAATGGGGGAAAAGCATGGCCCGTCCTCACTTTACAGAGGGCTCACGTTCCCGAAAGTCACTGGTAGGGAAGAGTCCTCAGCGGTCAGCCTGCCTGGAAAGGGGAAAATGGAAATAGGAAATTTCTTTCTCTTTCTTTCTTGATATATTTTATTACCATCACTTGTTAAGTGAGGGAGGAAATAGCCTTTATTACAGCATCGTTACAAGACAGACATATAACTCAAATGCAGCGAATGGAAAGTTAAAGTGTGTCACTTTTAATGACAAATTGATAAGGTTTCGGTGTCTCTGGAGGGGTCTTGCTGGATGAGTTCTTACTGCTGAGCAAAAATAAGTGTTAGACCTAGAAGTACAAGTGAGAAAGGGGCGGTTTTCCCACAGGAGCAATCAGCTAAGAGTTAATTTTAGAAGGCAAGAGAGGTGTCCCTTCACCCCTTACGGTCTGGCCTCCCTGCTCCTGCCCTTCGCCTTGCCCAGGCTGACCCAGCCCTGGGTCACAACCCCCTGCGTGCCAGCCAAGCCGTCCCGTCGACCTGGGGACACACACACACAGGCTGAGGTACCGAGC